AAAAAAAATGAGACAACTAAAAGATTTTTGTACACCAAAGGAAATCATCAATGAAATAAAAAGACAACCTACTAAATAAGGAAAGGTATTCCCCAATACATCCCATAAAGGAGTTAATATGTAACATTTGTAAAGAACTCATACAACTCAACAGCAAAAGAACAAACAATTTAATTAAAAATGGGCAGAGAACCTGAATAGACACTTCTCTGAAGAGGACATACAAGTGGCCATTGACATATGAAAAGGTGCTCAGCATCAGTAATCATCACAAAAATGCAAAATAAAATCACAATATCACCTCTCACCTGTCAGAATGGCTGTCATCAATAAATCAACAAACAACAAGTGTTGGTAAGGATGTGGAGAAGCGAGAACCCTTGTGCACTGTTGGTGGGAATGCAGATAGTTGTAACCATTATGTAAAACACTGTGGAGAGTCCACAAAAAGTTAAAAATGAAACTTTCTCATGACCCAATGATTCTACTTTTGTGTATATATCCAAAGAAACCCAAAACACCTATTTGAAATAATATATCCACTCCTATGTTCATTGCAGCCTCATTTACAATAGTTATGATATGGAAATAATCCAGGTGCAAATACAAATTGGTTGTTACAAAATAGTCATGGGATATAAAATACAACATAGGATTATAGTCAACAATATTGCAATATGTATAGTGCTAGGTGGGTACTGGAAATATGGAGTGAGCACTTTGTAAAGTATATGATTGTCTAACTCAGCAGTTCTCAACCTGTGGGTCACGACCCCTTTGGAGGTCTAATGACCCTTTCACAGGGGTCACCTAAGAACATCAGAAAACACATATTTCTGATGGTCTTAGGAACCGAGACACTGCTCCTCTATTCGTCTCTAGGTGGGTCTGCCCACATGCAGATATGCCCACATATAGATACACCCACATACAAGTACCAGCATGATGACATCATTGGGCCTACCTCATTACATACACCCTGTACAAATGCAGGTGTATGTGACAAGGTTGGAGCCATAATGTACTTATGTGGACCAGTCACACATGTTTAGAGAGCAGCTACTGCGCAGAAAGCAGCTACTCTGTTAAAAGTAGCTACTGTGCTGAAAGCAGCAGTATTGGAGGTAAAACAACACTTCATGAATTATAATTACTGGGTAAATGTAAAATCATGTATGGTAAAATTGTCAACTACTGCAAAAAAAATTATCTGTACAATGGAAACTTAATCTGGATGCTGATCGGTCTTTTATATTCAGCTGTGGTTAATGTGAATACTGTCCCCTTGTGATAGTAACAGGTATGTAAAAAAACAACAACACAGAGAATGGTAAATCATAGGAAACTTTAATAAATTGTGCCATGTATCATCTTTTGTATTATTAAAGCTATTGTTACATATTATTTTCATTAGCAAACCATCCCATGACAATGGATTGTGTAGAGAAGAACATTAAGAAAAGAAAATATAATGAGGATTTTTTACTGTATGATTTTACCTCAATAATTACAGCAGGAATTGAGAAACCACAATGCGTTATTTGTTGTGAAGTTCTATCAGCCAAATCTATGAAGCTGAACAAACTAAAATGCCATTTGGATAACAAGCATCCAAGCTTTGCCAGCAAGGACACCAACTATTTTAGAAGCAAAGCTGATGGAATCAAGAAAGCCTGACTTGACACTGGTGGCAAGTACCACAAACAAAACGTAGTAGCCATTGAAGCTTTATATTTGGTGGCACTCAGAATCGCCAGAGCTATGAAACCTCACACTATTGCTGAAGATTTACTGTTGCCAGCAGCCAAAGACATTGTTTAAGTTATGATCGAAGACGAATTTGTTACAAAATTGAGTGCAATTTCTTTATCTAATGACACTGTCCACAGAAGAATAGACGACATGTCTGCTGATATTCTTGATCAGGTAATCCAGGAAATTAAATCTGCTTTACTTCCAATTTTTAGCATCCAGCTTGATAAATCTGCAGACATTGCAAACTGTTCACAGTTACTGGTTTACATGAGGTATATTAATGATGGTGACTTTAAAAATGAATTTCTTTTTGCAAACCTCTTGAAACAACAACTACTGCACGTGATGTATTTGACACAGTTGGTTCATTTCTGAAAGAGCATAAGATCTCTTGGGAAAAGGTTTGTGGTGTTTGCACAGATGGCGCCCCAGCTATGCTAGGATGTCAATCTGGATTTCAATATTTGGTACTGAATGAATCACCAAAAGTCATCGGAACTCACTGTATGATTCATCAGCAAATATTAGCAACAAAGATGTGGCCACAAGAGTTACAAGAAGTAATAAAAAACGTCATAAGTTCTGTAAAGTTTGTAAAGGTGAGAACTTTAAACAGTCAACTGTTTTTGCAACTGTGCAACGAGTTGGATGTGCCAAACAATGCTCTGTTATTTCACACTGAAGTGAGATCGTTGTCAACAGGAAAAGTTTTAAAATGTGTTTTTGAGCTTTGTGATGAACTCAAAATGTTTTTTAATTAGAAAGCAAGACAGCAATTTGAAGCACTTTTCAGCATTAAAAGTGAACTTCAGAAACTAGCTTACTTGGTTGACATCTTTGCCATCTTGAATGACTTAAATTTATCACTGCAAGTACCAAATGCAACATACTTCCATTTGTCTGAAAAGATCCCATCATTCCAAAAGAAACTTAAGCTTTGGCAAAAAAATTGGATGAAAATAAAATTTACATGTTGCCTACTTTATCTCCTTTCTTTGAGGAACATGACATTGAACTAGCAAAAGGATTATGATGATAATTTCTACGAAAGAACACTTGAAAATGCTTGCAGACAAAATTTCATCGTACTTTCCAAATCTACCTGACAACCCATTTGCACTTGCGAGAAGCCCATTCACAGTCAAAGTTGAAGATGTTCCTGAGAAAGCACAAGAGGAGTTTATTGAACTTATTAACCACAATGCAGTGAGAACTGATTTCTCTACAATGCCAGTTATAAAATTCTGGATCAAGTGTTTGCAGTCATATCCTGTTCTGTCTGAGACTGTGTTGCACCTTCTTCTTCCATTTTCAACAACATATCTTTATGAAACAGGGTTTTCCAGCTTGTTGGTTATCAAGTTTAAATACAGAAGTAGACTTGTTGTGGAATATGTGCTCTTGCAAAGACTGCTCTGAGAATTTCTGATCTGGTGAGAAAGATGCAATCTCAACCTTCTCACTGACATTGGCTTTTTACCCATACTGTCGCAAAATGTAGCAATGTAGTTTACTGTTGTTATATTAAGACTGTTATACATGCTGCACCATGCTTCAATACAAGATTTCATTTATTTGTAATTAGAAATAAATATTTTACAATATATAATTAGATATTGTTTTCGTGATTAATCACTATGCTTTAATTCTGTTCATTTTGTAACAATGAAAATATATCCTGCATATCATATATTTACATTACAATTCATAACAGTAGCAAAATTACAGTTATAAAATAGCAACAAAAATAATTTTATGGTTGGGGGTCACCACAACATGAGGAACTGTATTAAAGGGTCACGGCATTAGGAAGGTTGAGAACCACTGGTCTAACTACTATGCTCTACACCTGAAATGAATACAAATTAATGTTTAATGTAAACTGAAAAATAAAATTTAAAAAGATTATTTAAAGAATAAGTGAGCCCTGACCAGTTTTTCTTAGTTGTTAGAGCATTGGTCCATGGACCAAAGAGTCTCAGGTTCGATTCTGGTCAAGGGCACATACCTTGGTTGCGCTTTTGTTCTTGGCCCTGGTGGGGTAGTGCAGGAAGCAGCAAGTTGATGTGTCTCTCTCACATCAATGTTTTTCTCTTTCTCTCCCTCTTTCACGCTCTATCTGAAGATAAATGGAAAAAAAATAAATGGATTAAAAAATAATAATAATAAGCAAGTATGCTTACTAGTCAGTACACACACTTCTTCTTCCATATAGGAAAGATCCAATGTAATCAACTTTTCCTAGTTGCTGGCTAGACCATCCTGGTAATTATTGTGTAGTTTGATGAGTCCCAGTTGCATGAACCAGCAACAAAGGCTCATGCTTTCCTTTGATGATGGTGATGATTTAAGTAACTCTTTGATGCTATGTGTCTACCATCTAAGGCTAACAAGAATATTACTGCATTCAAACTCAACTACTTCAGAAAAACAATTCTGTATTTCCATTTTCTGACAGTTTTTGCTGTACCCGTGATGCATTCATCATAGTATATTGTGAACAATGGGATTTATTATAGGGTTTTAAGTAGCTCAAAGAACTGTTGGGAGTCTTGAACAAAATAAATACACCACACTCTGCTTTTCAACATCCACAAACACATTATCCAGACACCAGAGTTTCTATTAATGCTGTTGTCAAAAAAACAAATGTCTCTATCATGAACTTGCCTTCAGTAGAATTGAGGCATGTGCCACATTTTTCACTTTAAATTTAAGCAAATGCCATTTATAATTTAAGCTGTTACAGATCTTTCTCCATTTTCCCCCATTGACATCTTCCTCCCAATCCCACCACCCCCAGCATTGTTGTCTATGTCCATGGTGACGTACATATGCATATAAGTTTTGTGATTTATCTCTTGCCTCCCCCCCCATTCCCATCTTCTGAGGTTTGTCAGTCTGTACCCTACTTCTATGTCTCTGGGTCTATTTTGTTTATTAGCTTGTTTTGTTTATTATATTCCATAAATTAGTGAGATCATGTGATACTTCTCTTTCACTGATTGGCTTGATTTGCTGGGTATAACACTCTCCAGGTCCCTCCATGTCATCACAAAGGATGAACATATATGCCAAAATTCTTAATAAAATACTAGGAAATCAGATCTAGCAGTACATTAAAAAAAGTATTTGCTATGACCAAGTGGGATTCATCCCAGGAATACAAGGCTGGTACAATATTTGCAAATCAATAAATGTGATACACCACATAAACAAAATGAAAGATAAAAACTATATGATCAATACTTACCTGGCAGGAAAGAAACCATGATCATGCAGTGGTTTTTCTATGGCAAGGCTTATGCATTGCACTATGGATGTGCTGACCCCTGCAATTTTCCCAAATGTGGGAAACTCGACTGAATAATTTGTGGTAGTATAGGACGGCGTTCATACTCTCCTCTGAAAAAAATAAACAAAAAATAAATAAATAAAAACATGATCATATCAATAGATGTTGAAAAAGCATTCAACAAAATCCAGTATCCATTTCTGATAAAAATGCTCAGCAAAGTGGGAATAGAAGGATCATATCTCAACATAATGAAGACCATTTATGTCAAACTTACAGCCAACATAATATTCAATAGGCAAAAACTAAAAGCATTTCTCTTAAGAACAGGAATAAGCCCACTTTCGCTACTCTTATTTAATATAGTACTGGAATTCTTAGCCGCAGCAATTAGACATGAAGAAAACATAAAAGGGATCCAAATTGAAAAGGAGGAAATGAAACTGTCATTATTATTTTTTTTTTCCATTTTTTTTGTACAGATAGAGTGGGAGGGAGAGAGAGGAAGGGGGAGAGAGAGAGAAACATCGACGTGAAGGGACACATCGAGTGGCTGCCACCCGCACGACCAACCAGGGCCGGGGACAAACTGCAATCAAAGTACGTGCCCTTAGCGGGAACTGAACCCGGGTCTCTCCGGACCGCAGGCCGATGCTCTAACCGCTGAGCCAAACTGGCCAGGGCGAAACTGTCATTATTTGCAGATGACATGATATTGTACATAGGATATCCTACAGACTCCACCAAAACTCTACTGTATTTAGTAAATGAATTTGGCAATGTAGCAGGATACAAAATTAATGTCAAGAAATTGATGGCATTTTTATATACCAACAATGAACTTGCAAAAAGAGAAACTAAAAAATAAAAATAAAAATCCCATTTACCATTGCAACAAAAAAAAAATTAAGATACCTAGGAATAAACTTAACCAAAGATGTGTAAATATTTTTAAATAATTTTTTTTATCCTCACCGAAGGACACTTTTGCATTTATCTTCAGATAGAGCAGGAGGGAACAAGGGGAAGAGAGAGAGAGAGAAACATCGATGTGAGAGAGACACATTGAGTGGTGGCCATCCACATGACACCCACTGGGGATGGGACAAACTGCAACGGAGGTATGTGCCCTTAGCAGGAACTGAATTCGGGACTCTCTGGTCTGCAAGCCAATGCTCTAACTGCTGAGCCAAACTGGCCAGGGCAATATTTCTATTTTTTTAAGTACAGTCGACAAAGATTTTTTTTTTTGATGGCATGAACTTTGTTTCAGTTTATAGCACTGGAGCATGTCACATCCATAGTAGGAAATTAGCTAATGCTTGGTTTTATTGAATTTTTGATAGTGCAAGTAGACACTGTCAAACATTTACTTCTAATTTATGTAGTTAAAAAAATAAAAAAGGATGCTTCTTTCTTTCATATTTCAGAATCTCTTACACAATTTTCACTTGGGTTTTTATTTATTAATTTATTCTTGAAAGAAGACAGATAAATCCAGCTGGAACTCTGCCCATAAATACAGCTTCCCCTTTTGGGTTCCCACATCACTTTCTCAGTTGTTCTTAGATTACTGCTTTGAGGCATTGGTCTGGAGGGCTGGTAAATGCAAATATACATTAGCAGTGTAGAAACCTCATTTTCTGAGAGAAATGAAGGACAGGCTCAAATATAGAACTTTCCTAAAGATGAAGTAAGTTCTTTGTGTAATTTATTCTATTTAATGAAGCTGGTGCACCTCTGGTCTTTCTGCCCAACCTCCAGAGCTAGGTATATTGTGAGACTGTCTCTTCTTTGGCATTCCATATTTTTGTTTGCTACATCTGGCAAACCAAGCCATTGCACACCCAGTGGAATTCCCTGTGTATCATTTAGAAGCCAAGATAGCTGATGTCACTTTTGCCTCTAAAGGGCCCTATCTACGGGCATCATTTCAAGTCAGATTACCAGAGCATAATTTATGTTTTCTTCACTTATTATTTGACCTTGGATAAATTACTTAAGCTTTCTGAACCTTAGTTTGCTTACCAATGAAATTGATAACTAGGGGTATCAAGTGTGATAATTCATGTTAAGCACATGATAATTTCTCTATAATATTAAACATTATTATTATTATTTCTGTCGGAAAACAAGAAAATGCTGGGCCTTCCCTGAAATACCTGAATGTTCTTTACCTGAAACAATAAAAGTGATTCCAAATTTAAATCCCCATTTTCCCCACAGATGCTCCTCGCCTCCAATGTTTATCCTTCCAATTGAAAAATTGTCAGCCCATGCTCTGATTATTTCCTGAGAGTCTGAACCCCTTAATCCAGAAGAGGGTTTTGAACTGGCCTTGATGCCTTGTCATTTCCACTGCACTTAATCTAGCATAAATTCATGGCTATTTCTGAGAATAAAAATAATTGTCTTTCTCTATTCCTTTATCTGATGCAGATTAGTGTTTATTTTTATATTCCTTTGGTCATTTCAGGAGACGTGTAATGATAAAAATTAGACCCCTGGACTCAAACCATCAGCTTTCTCAGTATTCCAGAGCAGAAACAGAACCTTCATTTTGTTTTAATCACTTGACAATATTGATATTTAATAACTAATATGATACTTAAAATTCAGAGGCAATAACGAAGAAAAGACCTTTCAACATGAGCTTTATTTACTGGCTTACAACTATGTTGTTTATAAGTTTTAGCTTAAACCTGCCTCTTCACTAATTCTCTATATGTTAATGTATAAAATTCCTTCTTTCTGAGATTAATATAATACAGATCTAATCCTTATGCAATAATTCCATTTTGGCTTTTTTTTTTTTTTTCCCAGTCGTCTGTATTTATTTATATGCAATTTCCAAACAGAGATGTTCTTTCCTATATGCACTAATAATATTTGCATTTTTAAATGGAACATAGACTCAGAATTGAAGTATAATGTTATGAGGTCAAAGAAACATAGAGATTATATCTTTAACCATAGCAGACTATTACATATTGAAAATAGCAATATTATATTTTTGCAAATTTCATGCTCTCATTGGAGACATAGAGGCCTAATAGAAGGAAGATTTCTTTATAAAAAGAAAAACTGTGTTCCTCAATAGCTTTTAAGTAGCCCATATGGAGATATGTGGCTATCAGTAAAAAAATGTATCTGAACAGTTTCAAGCAATGAAGTTCAAAAGAAATAAAAAAAAAAAGTAAAATCATAATTAATGGAGCTGGTTTTGTAAGGGATAAAGTCACTATTTGCAGAAAAAATAATTACCAAAAGATAATTTTAAAGGTGTTATGTACAACTCTTGATTAATTTGTTTTAAATAATGGGATGAACAGAATCAAAGCCAAATATGAAAGCAAAACCAGGTTAACTGAAAAATGTCCTTACTTTTCTCTGGTTCTCTAGATTCATCCCTTCAGAAAATGATAATTTTATGACAGAAGAGTGTGTAGACCTCCCATTAGCTTGCACAGATCTTATTTTCTTTTTACATTAGAATAAGGTTCTTGGTGTAATGGCTGATACTCTGTGCTCTCTGCTGTGTGAAGTAAGATCTTTGTAGAAATGATGAATCACTCCTTCAGTGTCTACTAGAAAGTTTCCTATAGTGTATCTCAAGTGGTGGAGGTTCATATTGTGGCTGTTGGGCATTTTGAGATATAATGTTTCCATGTTGGTTATCTGAAAATAAAATATATTTATAATTTAACATTAGAAAATGTGACAGCTGTCACATTCAAATTTGGGGAATACTGATTTATCAATAACTGTGTTAATTGAGAGGTCAACAAACTTTTTCTTTAAGTGGCAAGATACTAAATATTTTAGGGTTTGCAAGCCTTATAGACTCTGTTGTAATTATTTAGTTCTGCCCCTGTAGGAGAATGCAGTCATAAACAGTAAGTATAAATGAATGAGCATGGCTGTGTGTTCCAATCAAACTGCACTTACGAAAACAAGTAACAAGCCTATGGGCCTTAGTTGCCAACCCCTGTACTAGATAAAACCATTTTTTTTAAATAATAAAGTAGTAACTTGCTCTTTTTTTTCCTTTTGTATTAAAATCTTAAGTAAGGGTGCATTGTTTTGTGTTACTTTTCTGAAATAAGTATATAGTACATAATTCCTATACCTTTATCGTGCTTGTGTGTTGTGTATATGTATAAATTATAAATTATATTTAAACTTTTACAAATGAATTTTTAGAATCAAAATAGTTTATAAATGTGCTTTCTAACTTTATGAATACTTTATTTCAAGGAACTCATCTCTGTATTTCTTTTATTTTCACTGAACTTATATGAATAAACAGCATGAAAAGTAAAAATTATTTTTTAATCTTAAAAAAAATGGCCTAGAATGAATAAAGTAACTCATCTTGAAACCAGACCTAATATGAAAAGAAACCAAAGTTATGAATTAGAACTGCATTGATCAGATACCATATGGTATAGCCTTAATAATGTGCTAAAGCATTCAGAAATACAAGCAGAATAATAAAAAATACATAAATTTTCAAAGTGATGGTAGTCCAATTTTGTACACATCACATATGAGTAAATTCCATTTGAAACCCTCAATATAAATATTGTATGTTAAAGAACAAAATAGGCAGGTTCAGGCTGCTTTTCACATTTTTTCTAATTCATTGTTTTAATGAAAAATAAGATACTGAAAGGAAAGAAAAAAAAATTTAAAAAGAAGAAGTCCTCACTGATGAGCTCTGCATTTACAACTAGTACCTGCCACCTGAAAAATGTACAGCACTTTGAATGACTGTGATATTGTCAATGATGCATTTAAAATCAAAGTGGCTCTAAGAAAAGGCAAAACCATTTCTTTATTTTACATTACTGTATTTATCATTTTTTCTGGGCTTTTCCAAGATATAAATAGTAAAAGAAGTTATCTTAGAAAAAAAATTGACAAGGTTTCCTTGCCCTTAAACCTCCAGGGTTGCCTCAGCTGTGCAGTGTCATTGAGAAACCTAGGCTCTGCATTCTAATAATTAGAAGAGAACAGAAAGCATTACTTATCCTGGATTCACTCATTTCTCTCTTATAAACATAGAAAAATAAGCCCTTTATGCGGGGAAACTCAGTGTGTTTTCTGATAA